ATAACTTTTGAAATAAGGTAGCAGATTAGATAGCAGTATATCCACCCATTCGTCCTTTCACACTGTAAACTACACTTATTCTAAAGATCTTTTAAAGAAAGTGGAAGGCCTGTAATAATAAAATGAAGTAAACACCATATTTTAAGAGGAGCTTCCAACAGACATTTTTTTGCAAGAAGACAGTTGTAGCCGAAACCTCATACACAAACAGAAAAGCAGGAACATGAGACAATTGATTAGAATCAGTGGGAGGTAACCGCAAGGGACTTTGTGCTGAAGCAACCAAATAGATTGTGTCTCAGTGCTGAAAATATTTCTGCCATTTTTGTACAACAAATAAAATCAAAATAAGCACTGAGAATCAATGGATAGATTCACAGGCATCAACCTAAGAAAGGATATTTACACACATTTCAAGAATAATTGGAATATGCATCAATAGCTTACCAGAACAAACTTTGATACTGCAGTGTACATATTTACCATGGAAATATTATTGTTCATGTTCATTTCCCCAATGCCATTGCTTTTATTTCCATGTATGTTTTCAAAATCACAATCAATGTTCAATGATTTGTTTTTAAAAGCACAAATAACGGCGGCAGCATTTTAAAAAGCCCAGTGGAAGACAAATTAATTTTCCATATTGTAACACAAGGCATCAATTCTATTACTGAGCACTTCTCAGTTATTTCACTCTGCCAACTCACAATTCATATGTTCCCTGTATCACAATTTGAAACTTATATTTGAAGCATTTTGGGAACCTGAACATTACTGATTGAGCCATCTGGTTATAAATGAGCAGGATTAAGAATATATCAACTATTTGATATGCATGCAATTTGTGATGTTATGCTACTCCACTCTGAAATACTAGAACTTTTACTCTGATGGAAATGTATATGGTATAGGAGCAACCACAACAATACAACTATATTNAAAAAAACACATTGTAGGAATACATGAACAAGAATGGGCTATGTATCCTCTTCCACCATTTTACCAGATGATGGCAGATCTTTCTTTCCAATTTCCTGCCCTTTCTCCACATCAATTCTCACTCCCAGGTGTCAATATTTTTTGTGGAATGCTCTGTTGGCTTATATTTTACCAAATATTTAGTGACCAAATTTGTCATTTAGAATCAAACTGCAATCTTCCCGACTTTCATATATTAATTCACAAAAAAAAGTAGAGTTGCTGTCCGAGTAACACATTTAACAACAATTTGCAACAACTTCCATTTATATAACGCCCGTCACACGGGGTAGCATCCCTGAGCGCTTTTTTTTAATACGTAAAACTGTTTTACTTTGTCCTATACCTATAAAATGGTTGAAGCATCACTCACAATTTAAATTCTTGATTGAGCGGAAAGTGTTGACGGATGGTATGCACCGTGCTTTCCATTAAAAAGCAAAGTTCAGTCAAGTGTTTTCATCTTAAGCAAGCACTTCCTCTCTGAAGAGGATTTAATAAAGAACAGATTGTCTTTTTCAGACCATCTGTTACTTGTATGCAGTTTTACATGAAATGGCTATGTTCAGGGTAGGTAATCTCTTTCTTTAAACGTAAGGACGGGGTGGGGGAAGGGAATAATTGAATGTGTATTTTTTTGCTGACACAATTCCTTTTCCTCTGTTAAATGCTACATCTGAAGTCTCAAGATTCCAGATTACATCCTTTATTTATAATTACTAGAATTTATAATTACTAGAATATAATTTCTTTGATGATCATACCCTCAAATACAACTAATTTCCTTTCACTTATTGCTTGGTTTCTACCTCTGCTTTGAGACTTTGTTACCCTACAAAAAGCCACGCTATAAATGCAAGCTGTTATGTATTGGTCAGATACCATCAGGTAATGTACTTAAATCAAATCACCTAATCATAGGGAGGATATAATTGCTCTTAATAAAGTACGGAAGTTGGGCTTGATCTCGTTGGAAAAAGCAGTCAAGGTAACCTGAGTTAAGTTTTCAGAATTATGAAAGAAATTAAAAAATGTGTACAAGCACAATGTAATCCAAAGGTTCCAAATCATTGGGAACAGAAGATAGGATAAGAAGGCAATTTGGGCATATTTTTAACACAAGAATAAATTAACAGATAAGGGTATGGAATAGGGCCAAAAGACAATTAATTGATTTTCTGAAGAGATAAGTGATTAAGGGATATTATGAATGTAGTTGAAGATGAGAAATATATTTAAAAATTACACACACCTCACAGACTAATAGGTTTTAGCGAGCAATTAACTTGATTGAACTTTTGTATCAAAAGGGACAGAGTTCCTTAAATTAAAGGTTTTGGTATTCTGAGCAGGTTCTGCAATTATTGTTAAAAATCAGCCACAGGAACCTGTTGTGCTTCTGGTATAAACAAGAGCATCCAGTTTAAGCAGCAGCAACAAATTTGATTCTGCTCCAGTTATAATCTTGTATATGATCCACAATTTGGTCAAATTTCTTCAATATTCAAGAAGGTGGATGAGGACTTTGCAAAACACTGAAGTTATCAAGTTAGGGCCAGGATTTATTTTTCAAACCTGACCATCTTCACTGCCTTCCACTCCAACACTGATCAGATGTGATAACTAGATCTAAAAGGTGAATACAAAATTGAAGAAAAAAAGCCACTCATAGAAATAAGTGAGCAATATCATGGTCAATCTTTCTTCACAGGATTGACTTGATCTTGCAGTGTTAAAGGTAATGCACCATTTGCACACTTCCTGTCCAATTTTGTCTACATCTGCCTGCAGTGATTGCTTATCATCTACACATGGAGAAAGAATCAATCATGCAGCAGACTTTGGTATCAGTGAATACATTAATATTGATGACATTCACCATCTTATTCATGAAGACCAGAAACAAAGTGGGGGAAACTCCTCTGAGGGATCTTTTGATTGCAATAAAATAACATCTATTTATCATGTCCCGTTTCATAATCTTTTATAATAACTTGCATTAAATAGCGTATTTCACATAAAAACAGATGTCTTGAAGCACTGCTATAAAATAGAATTGAGTAGGAACAGAATATGATGCGTTAATGATGATTAGAAATGGAATGAATCTTGTTATTATCTAGACAATGCAGCAGCATCTTGCCAAAATAATAATAATAATAATAATCCTTGCATTCGATGTAGCCTCTAATGACGCAAAGATATGCCCGAGGTCCTTACATTTTAGAGCAGGTTAGATTGGATAGATCAGGGTAGGCATTTTGAAGGAAGTAGGATTTAAAGTTTAGAAAACAATTCATCTCTCTTGTGAAAGAAACAAGAATGGATTTAAGTGATTTCATATTGCCGATGTTATATTCAGTTAAACCACGGGTATGTACCGAAATTGCGTTGGTTTCTGAAGAAACAGAATTTCTGACAGAAACAAATCACTTTAAAAAATATTATTGGCATATCAACGTAAAGAAAAAAAGTGGATAAATATTTATTTGATTATGTAGATTCATTTAGTCAATCAATCAAACAACCAGAAGGAAATGAAGAATATTTTAAACACTATACGTACACTACGCAGTTATGTTCCGAGGCACATCCCGTTCCAGAGGAAACAAAATGTATTTAATAAAGTTGAACTTTTGACATTAGCCACATAAAATTGTTCTAGGTATAGAGCCAACAAACAAGAAATCTGAAAGAGTTGGCTTCTGTAAAAAGCTAGAAATGGACTCATACAGATAGGTTAAAAGCTATCCCATTTCAACTTCCCAAATACTAATGTAGTGAAGGAGTGTTCCAAAGCCTCTGTACTGTCTGGTCTCAGAGATGGATGTTAGCAAAACAAGGTTATCCCTTATCAGTGTTATTTTTACCTTGGTAATTGAACCTCCAATAGAACTATTCAAGCAAGTATCAACTATTCAAGCAAAGTAATGGAAAAAAAACTTTCTCTAAGCAGATAACATTATGTTGTTTATACTGAATCATTGTTGGAACTGGCGGATTGTATTTCCGAAACAATTCAGGTTAGAAAATTGGGAAAGTTATGAAGTGAATCTTTGAACACAAAGTCAGTGCTTGGATGATAGTACAGCTTAAAAGTATATGATTGGTTTTGGATATTTAAGAATATAAGTTACATAGAAGCTGCAACATTTCATCATACAATAATTTCAGCCTTTTCAGATAATAATCAAGCTTAACGCTGTTGCGAGTGGGGAGAGCAGGAAGCAGAGTCATGAAACATGAGGAGTGTACATTAAAGTAACCCTCGTATAAGCAGAGGAGTTAAATAATTAAATAAAACACTGATAAAATTAATTCCATATTAACTATGATAGGGGAAAGCCACATTCATTTCAGCAACAACAAATGATCCCATATGTAATTTATGATTGTCATTCTAAAACATTGTTTCCATATTAAGAAATTATATGAAGTCAAGATTTAAACTTAATGGTCTGAAAGTTAACTATCATATAAACATAGATGAAAGAAAAATATGCAAGTATGCACCTACAAATATGCACGCTTTGAGATGTCTTCCTAACATTAAGGCGCTAAATCAAATGTGAGGATAGATTTTACTCTCCAAGTGATTCAACATTCCAGAAGCTTAAAAAGCTATGTTCCTTATGTGTTTATTCTAGTGCAGTCAAAATATTGATGATCTTTATCCTGTAACTATTATTTTCATTCAGTTGGAATGAATGGTCCTCAGAAGTCTTGAAAGATTCCTTGAATTAGTTAACAATAAAAACTACATTGAAACGTGTTTCTTTTACAAATAAAGAAAGCAGTGACATTGAAAACATTACATTGCTAAAAGGAAATACAAACTGAACTCCTAAGGTTTGGGCCAAAATATAACTAAGTATTGTAATCTAGACATTCTACATAGGGTTCGCTTCATAGTATTTTATAAATGCAGCAGTTATAAGATTGAAACACTCTAAGCAGAATCATCCAAGAGTTTACTTTTTTAAAATTATAAAAAGAAGATTTGATGCTTCATCACGTACCTCTATAAGCTTGTTAGTATGCTCTCTGAATATAGTTCCATATTCCTGTATATCTTTTTCCTTTCCACTTCTTGCAGCTTCAATAAGAACCAGAAGAGGCACGGTAGTATCCAAGAAGGAGTCAGAGACATGGTCTATAATCGCCTTCCTCAACTGATGAAATTTAAAACCAAGTTATAAAACTTTTTGATGCAAATAAAATGTTTTATTGATAAAAACACACATTTCCTTGTATCTTAAAATATTGCTAATATGTAAAATGTACCACTTAAGGAGCTCTATTCAACTTAAAATATGCCCTAATGGAGAAGGCAACCTGACCAAGTTGCAACCCGCAAAATTCTTGAAGTACACATTCTCAGTACTCTCAGAGACAGATATCGACGTGAGTTGGAAGGTCACACGCAAAGACTGATTTCCTGTCTGGGTTGATTGGATGGCCAGATTAATTTTAGAGTGAAAATTGTGCAACCAAAAATGTTACAATCTCCTGAAGTGTCCAAAATAATGCAATTTTACATTATTGAACCAACCTGGGAATACTTTAATATAACATTCACACAATATATTGTCCTCTTAAATTAGATTTTATCCCTTGCTTTATTTTAAGAACAAATTGGCTCTGCAATCATGTTTCCACTGTTCCCTATGGCACAGATGTCATGACTTATTGGCATGTCCATCTTTCTTGCTAATCTAGCCAGAGTTGAAACAAGCTTTGGTAGAAGAGCAATGGAGGAACTGCATCACTTTCTTCTATGCTCTTTCAAATTTTTTTGAATGGATGAAGGTACATTACACATGCACTAAGTTTGTCCTCTCCAGTTGTGTTCAGACCACCTATTTGGTTCTCCCAGCCATTTCTTTGTTTGTTTTCTCTGACAATACTGATCAGCATGCCTAGCCTCTGGCAGTAACCTCTTTTGTACACTGTTCTATTCATTAATGCTCCATGCCATTAGAATTATTTTAAAAAAATGATAGTGACAGTTTTTATCAGAACAGAGGATGCATCCAGGTTATCTCAATCTTTTTGATAGAAGCAAGAAATCATACTTATAAGAGATGTGAAATAGGAGCAATTTTGTTTCATCCACATTCAACAGAATAATTGGAAATTCCCTATTCAGGCCACCTTAGACATAACAGGTTGACCCAAATGCAGCCAGAGCCCAAGGCTATCCGGTATTCGAATTGTGTCACCTAAATAATTTGTAAAAACACTAACTGTGCTTGAGGGAAAGCTTTCATAATTAAAGCAACATTCAATAGCTTAGTGATTATTCTATTTCGCCTTTTTCATAGTAAAATGTTATGAAAAGAATGGACCTGACTGTATTGTGATTTAAAGGATTCTATCTTGGTTTGATTTGAAGCAACTTGATTCTGCTATGATTTAAACCGATACATAGCTCACAGGAGCAACTATGCTCTCCTGCAATAATGTAGGAGCAATAACCAGGTTACGGTACATTAAACGTAGACAGAGGTTTAAGAAGAGCAAAGTAAACTGTGATTTGCAAAACTGTTTTTACCACAGCAGCTTATGAAGTCACAAATAGCTCTGTAACTAAAACAAGGAAAGTTTGCCTGCAGCTTTTCGAATTGCTACTCCTGTGTATTTACTAGCAGCTCCTGTGGCCATAAAAGAAAACCAATTTGTGGAACAGTCAAGTGTTCCAAAACATAAAATAGGCTTTGAAATACACATCTTTAAAATTACAGTGTTTGAATACTTGAATAAAATCACTGAAATTAATCTGAAGGCAAAAACAATTATTCAAGGTCTACAAATATCTTAGACAGAGCAAATATAGCTTATATGTATGCAATCAAACACATTTAATACTTAAAATATCAGACTGAATTACCAAGTGAATTGTGTTGAGAATATTTTGCATACTGAAATAACATTATAGAGGAGCATTATTAGAGTGTTTAATATGGGTTTATGCAGGAGGAAACAAGAAGTCACATCTTGGATAATCTTGGACAGTTACTTTGCAAGCCTGCTTTCTCCCTCCCCCACCCTGGTTATGGTTAAATGTCACGTATTAAGCAGATGGTCTCAAAGTTTTGGTCTGTGCTGAGTCAGGTGGGTGAGCAGTTGGAATATTATTCCTACTTTGTTTTCCTTGTATATCAACTTGCATATATATAATAGAGCACCGTTTGTCTTTCGGAGCATTTATTGAGATATGGTTCCTCATGTGCAAACTCCCTCAAATATTTCACCCAAAGTTACGGTTATTCATGAACTGTAAAAGTGAGTGTTAGAATGTTGTAACTAATGATATGTTAACTACTTTTGTTCAAAATGTCTACTGTTTTGCAAGGGAAAAAATCCTCCAATTATCATTCAGTTCAAAATATTATTTTGAAATTAGCTTGCATTCCTATTTAGATTATTTATGGATAAACGTAATGGTAATGATCATTTGCAAATCTTTGCTACAAAAAGGCAATTATGGAACAAGAAAATGTCAATTGTAATTTCTAGCGGCATTGACTGAGTGTCTAGTTAAAACAATTAATTTAATTGTATTACTTATCTCAATACACCAACAGTGTCACCCTCTGTCTAAGGTCTGCTGTGCTAATTTCCCTGTCCACAAGACAAATGGCATCCTGAATTCTTGAAGTAGTTGAGCTAAAGCTCAAAACCACATGGAATCCTTTGTAAATTTGAGTCCCATAAGAAAACTGCCAGAATTTGATTGATGGAGGGTCCATTGAGACAATGCTAACCAAATACACTTACACTGAGAACCAAAGGGAATTAATAAAAAGAAAAATACATCAATGTTTGAAACCTGAAACAAAAATAGAAATGCAGCCCAAGTCAATCCATCTCTGTTTCATAGGCTGATATCATTTTGTGTGTGACTTTTCATCGAAATAGGAGACATAAAAATTAATACTTCAAACATGAAGCATTTGTTTCCAGACATGGAATCTCTATCTTTGATAAAAGAAACAAGACTTTCCAAATGCAGCAACTCGATCATCTGCAAGGTGAATAATCAAGGCCCACAGTGAAGCTATGCAAAAATTACTTAAAAACAAGAATAACCTATAGTTAAAAGTTTCAGGATCATTTCACACAGTTGTCAGCCTATACAACAGTGATACTGCAAAAGTCTAAAAAATTTCAACTAATGGCTTTGTTCAATTTGTTTCACCTAATGGGTCTTCAGAGCACAGATTACCTTGAAGTCAAGCTGATATCACAGCTAGCCTAATAGGTGCTGAGATTCATGAATATTTTATTTTAATTAAGCAAAGCTTGCAACTTTAAAAAATAGCACAATGTGATTAGATTTTTTAAATTTTTTTCCATATAAAAAAATACCACAAATAGTGGTAGAAATGAGTATTTTTAACGTAATATTCCTGTATCCTGTCATATGTTTTAAATCACTTAAACACTTATTTGCTTGTTTGTTAGATTGTTTTTAAATCAGTTCATTATTTTTTTATAGTCATGAATAAAGTGAGTATCCAGCACCCCTATGTGGAAATTAGGTTGAATGGCTGTCTTTAAAATTAGTGAAGAATCAAGCAAAACATACATTTCCAAATTTGGATGTAAAAATTAATATCTAGGTTCTTCTTCAGGGTCAAAATGTGGAAGTCAATGAAAGCTGAAAGGATTAAAGTATGTGCTTGGCTACTTTCCAAGAATACGAATTGAAATTTCATAGCTGATAAATACCAACTTACTAAGGAGCACATTTCTGCTGTTTACCAACAGTGCTTTCAATGAGAAAGCTTTATCTCCCCATTGAATTCCCAAGCATTTGGAACGTTATTAGGTTGATTTGCTGTGTCAAACCAGTCAGGGTTTTGCTGGATTACTGAACGTGTTTGATGCAACAATGATTTATAACATCTAAAACAGATAGCAATGCCAATGTAAATTGTTCAGCTTTATCTCATTTGAATGACTCATTTGGATCATGAAGAAGCCCAATTAGTCGCATATTCGTGTTCAATGTTAATTTCCAAGTATTCAAATCCTTTGTTGGCCCTTCACAGGGAAAGTCAGATCAAGTAGTCTTAGTGATTGATGGGCTATGACCATAGTTTTAGATTTGGTGAAATTGGGTTTCAGCAGAACAACTTGCTAAATTCTTCCTGTACAGACCTTGAATAATATAATTACATTACTACCCAAAAATGTGGTATCTCTAAAATATTGTATTGTTTCTCAAAGAGATGGTATTAAAATTGTTTGCAAATTCCCTTCTGCCCCACTAACTTCTGAATAATGGTAGCTTCTGGAAAATGATTGTTCAGATTTACTAATGAGCAAGGTCACTGTGTTCATCCCTGGCAACAAAGTTCCAGACTCCACTTTACGAGATACTACATTTATTTAAGTGATTATCAATTCTTATCATTTATTATTTAAAAATAATAAATTGGTCACTTCAATCCACAACTGTTTGTGGGACACTAATGTGTGCAATTGGCTGCCCGGGTTTCTCAATTCACTTTACAGTATATTCTGTGAAGCTCTCTGAGACATCTTGAAGCCGTGAAAAGGCACTATATCAAATGCAAGAATTATTATTATTATTATTATTATTATTATCCTGTGAAGTTGCATTGAAAAATCCCAATCTGATATCTGAAATGGCTACTAACCCTGCTCCCACACATAAAAGAAAAGAACTAGGCCAGCTGCCATATTTGTAGTTTATCGTCTATGTCTATCATCTTTGGTTTCAAAGTTTGTTGCACAAATACACACAATACTGGTGTAACTATTGAGTCAGTGTTCTATGTTATCGATTATATTTTTTCTACTTTAATAGCCATCACAATAAAATGTGCATTTATAATAAAATACACTGTATTATCATTATTCTGTATACAGTACTCTTTGCAAGAGATCAAAGGATTCTTAAACATTTAACATTCCTATTACAGATAAGATAATTTACCTGTCTCCGAAGGACTCTGGTCTTCTTACACATATTATCAATAGCAGCGTTCACAGAGTGACTTTCTTTATGTCCAGCCTAAAAAGAAATGTACATCTAAATTTCATATCATAACAGAACCCAAATAAAGGAGTTCAGGCCTATATAGGTCAATGACAATACACTTGAACTGACTCATAATTTACATTATCTTATAACATTTCACTAAAAAGAGTGAAACTATAAATATGAAAGGTTCTTCGTACTGCCACATATCCCACAGTAAACAGAAGCCAACTATAAAGGAACTCTGTAATAACACCCTTCAATATTGCACTGCCTTGCTTACTGCAAGGGCCTTCTTTAGACCCCTACAAACCAGTAACACGATAAACAGAGGTGCTGACTTGCTGGTTTTCCAAAACTGGCTGACGTCTGAGATATCAGATCGCAGCTGACATCAATCCTGCATACTATGCACAGGAAGTGACACGGACATTACTTTGTAAAGGAAACATCATCAACAACGATCTGTAATTTTTTCCCCGCCTGTTAATTTGACTGCTGAAACATTGGCCCCAGCCAACCACTCTGTAACAAAGTTTCCCTGTACATATGATCTTTGAGGAATCTTTGTTTGAAGGATAAATAAAGCACCACAATCCTATCAACACACAAGCACCAAGCGGTCAGAACTCTCGTTAAATTCATACTGCTTTCAGGTGGGAAGGAGACATGAAGGTGCATGATGCAAGCAAAATAATTTTCACCTTTGTAAACTATTCACTTCTTATCACCAGGGTGCACTTTCTACTTTGTGTTTACGGCAATTAATGATCACATTTCTAGCCTAAACGCCAGCAGACTGCACCTGGAAATCACTATTTAAATTGGTTAGTTACACTAGTGAAGAAAACACAAGCGGCACATAGTCAGATTCATTATCTGCAGTATTACCTGGTGAGAGCAACAAAAACCAGGCTGACATGCATCAAAATGAAATCTATGGGAGCTGCAGCTTCTATTATGAATAACAGGCTTTCAAAAAGATTCCATAATACTATCAGAAAAGGAATAGTTCACCAGCAGACAACACTTGTCTATGATTGTTCCATCCCAAGAGCTATAAACACACAGAGGGTAACTGAACAAAATCAAAACAGTTTTTTTTGCCCTTTAAACATTTAAGCACCCCTCATCTGAATAATTGCCCGCCTCTTGCTTGGCATGGTTTACTTCACTTTAAGAAGAAAAAAGCACATCTGGAGAAAAATATTCTGCCTCCAGCAATACACACACAGTTGCATCCCTTCTTCCACAATATTCTAACATACAAAGGGTGATTCAATCTATAATGTAGGCAGAAAATTCAATCTTTCTTCCTCACTAGAGACACTGAACTAATTTTAAAAATGAGATGCTCAGGCTCTTAATAAGAAGCTACTTCATCTGAGGGTTTTTAGGCCCAGAGCTGAGTAAAGCACTTACCAACCATTAAGCCAAACTAGAAAACTTAGCCCCTGACTTTCCAAATCATTACACAGTATTAATTGATCACCTTTGAAATAAAACCCAATGAATTGTTAAAAGGAGATCAGTTGATATTGACATCTTGAAACTGACTTTCCTCTTGCCAGTAAAAACAGTCAAAAACATTAGTTAAAGTGCATTTTCAAAGGAATGCCATAGAAACTGCTTGAGTCTGTGGTACTCCTAACTGCTGAATGGGTGAAATCCAATTTTCTTAGTGTCAAAGAAAGTGTAGCAGCTAAATATGGGACACCTCCAATAATGAGATTTGAATGTTGGTAACAATCCGATTGGTATAAAATAGGAAAAAAAACATGAATTGAACTGTGGAATTCTTTGAGCATTTGGCTTTCAGGTCATCGGGTTGTCGTTGATGTCACTTCCAGCACAGACTGGACAGATTTCTGTGCATCTACACATAAGTAGGAAGCCAGCCAATCTATACCAAAAGCCAGAGGTAGACTACTGGTCCACAGGACACATTATAAGTGAACTTGTGCTCCAGTAAGGCACATTTTAACCCGATTAAAAGATTATTGGTAAGCACACGTATTACATCAAGGACAAAATGAACTATGTTGATATATAGATGTGCATATTAAAAACTGGACGAAATCTAAGAAATGTCTTTATGTTAAATTTAAATATGTGTTCTCCGCTTGCCATGTTAAAGGGTAGGTCATCTCCATTATCTTAGAGTAATGGTAGAATATTTCCCATATAGTTAATCTACATGTGCACAGTTAGTCCTAAAATGTTTAAAATTAAATTGCAAAATGTAAATGGACTTTCCAGATTGAATCACATCAAAACTCCATTGTGGACAGTACACTAAACCCAATTTTAAGATTGTCAGGATGCTATTGATTTCTCAATAGCTCCAGTTTTGAATTAAACAGACTTGGCCGGTCCAAATCCCTGATACCTTTCACATTAAAAACACAGTTAGACAAGTTTCACAAGTTGTCTTCCAGTCACCACATGCATTTTATTTAATTTCACTCAGAAATTCCAGGAAGAGGAACCATTAATGGTGGGATATCTTTATTGCCACACACAATACTTTGTTTTGATCAGTGTGGACATGATCCAGATTGTGTCACTGTCCCAGTTAAGGGAATCATGAACTCATAAATAGAGGTATGGAAGCATACAGATTGAAATTACGAATTATAAATCACACTGGATCACCATTGCATACCGATCACAATTTTTCAGTCCATTTAAGATTAAAAAAGTAATTAGTATGCTTTGGTTCTCTGAATTTGTAATGCAAACTAAGCATTCAGAGTAATCATAGGTGTAAATAACCCGATGATTAACTTAAGTATGCCAATGACTACATTAGCATACAAAATGCTTAGATCTTTAAATTAATCTATAAATCCCATTTCACCTGTTTCTGTAACATGAATTAATTTAACACTTATTTATTTTACTCCTTAAGCTTCCCAGTAAGAATTAAATCTCAAAGGAACTTTTCTAATCACCCATGCAGCCCCTTATATTGTATTCACCACTTCTTATTAAATCTGGAATAACAATGTTCAGCTTCATTTGCTGGGTTGAGCTTGTATTGCCAGGTCGAGCTTGTATTACTGGGTTTATTTTATATTGCTCACTTTGGTAGCAGCATCAATAAGGTGCATTGTTTCCACACCACCAACTCCCAAGGTGGGCCTTATCCTCCCCTCCAGGGACAATAACAAGCTATCCGTGGTTCTAGTTTTAATGTCATAGCATAATCTGGGTACAGAAATAGCTTCTGGTCATTCTCATGGATTTGTACCATCATGATATCTCAACATTAATTGCATTAGTTGAAATTAATTAATATTTTAGCAAACGGTACAAAATTCCTGCCAAAACAAGTCATAATTAGGACCATTTACAATTTCTGGCACAAATTTAACACAATAATTTCATTTCAATGACCTAAGCGGACCAATTTAATAAATTACTGGTTTGTATCGAGGGGATTTTGGGATGCAGTGGATCAAATTAATGTTATCATTTTGTGGATAGGTGGTACTGGCAGTACAGCCTTGCTGTAATCAAGCTCTGATTTATACTTGCTGAATGTATCATTTAAAATGAGGGTGTACACAATGCTTATGTACTGAATTGTCCATAAATGGTAACGCAATGGTCTTGGTGCAATAAGAAACATTCCAGGAATGACATTGCCAGATTATTCTCAAACATGTATGTGGAAGAAATAAGTTTGTTTCAATTGGCACAAGGGATACATGCATATGTTGCCAACATGATCCACGGGATAAATGAGCACAACATTCCACTAATTCCAAGAACCATTACTGTTTCATCAGGAGGAATAACAGCCACCATGCCAAAGGATCTATCTAATCTACATATAAAATCAGATCAAAGAACTGGCATGAGAGGAATGAACTGGAATTCAACAAGCAGAAAAATACTGCAAGCAATTTGAATCGTAAGAAATATAATAATAATATTAACATTTAATATAGCGCCTACTACATTGTTTCAAAATGCTTCACAGGATTGTACTATAAAGTGTAGAGACTGTGTATTTGTAGGTAAAATATAGAAATGACTGTAGTTATTGTGTATTCTGAGATAGTAACTGTAAACAAATAGCTAACATTGTAAACAAGAAAAGGTGAGAATGTCTGTTAGCTGAGCTGGTAAAGCCAATGCTTAGTGTGAAAATGAGTGATATAGAACAGACGAAGAAGAACTCAGTTTGATCTTGCCATGTGGTGAGTTGGTTGATCTCAGCAGGAACAGTAGTGCTGCAATTAGTCTCAGTACCCATGGCTAATTGCAGAGAAATTAGCCACAATTCAGAATCCTGATCACGTTCCAATGGCCTTTGCTGGAAAATGTGTGTGTGAGAACTTCTAGTTGAAGATAATATCAGGAATAAGATAGGCTCAAACATAGTGAATATGGTTGAGGTACTGAAGGTATGGGGACAGCATATACAAGAATGGGAGGGACTTGGAAATCTATGTAGAAAAAAAACTGTACAAAACCTGCAATGTCACTGTAATTCTGTACATCTGATCAACTTGTCATCTCTTGTGACACAGATAAAGTCATGAGCAGCTTCATCCTGTTGATCTGACTTTACTAAAAACTCCTGCATGTTCAACATGCTCCAGAGAAAGCTCTCTTGGAAGATATAGCATGATAAAGAGTCATCTTTCTGTGTGTCTTATCTTTGATGGTTGTTAATAATTCTATTATCACAGGATTTAATGCTCTCTTGTACCTCATCATTACCCTACAAGATAGTTGCAGCTTCTTGGAGGGATACAAAAGAATTGAATGAAGATCACTAGTCAGGAAGAAATTATTAAATTCATGATATTAGATTAAATGTATGTGGAGACAGTGAATTCAGGTACCAGAGAGAAATAAAATTGATGCAATTTAAATAATGCTGAAAATATTCATTTTGGAATTCATCCACATGTAATTTTCATTTTACAAAGTGTTATTAGCAGGTTGATTAATACTACAGAACACTTTTAAGCAGGAGCATTTTGCAACATCCTGACCTTCTACTGTTATGGAAACTG